AGTGAAAAGTACTTGAGGCTCGAGTCAAGGGCATTGGCCATGCTCGGCAAGGCTGTACCCCAAGCCATCTTCGATCACGCGCTGAGCATCCGAAACACCACGTGCACGGGGCTGATTTTTCTGGTCCTTAAGGCGTTTCAGCCGGGGGGTCTTCATGAACGCACTGAGCTGCTCAGAGGCCTGACGTCTCTAGGCGAGTGCCAAGGGGCCAAGCAAGGAGTCGAGTCTTTACACATGTGGTTTCGGCATTTGGAACGGGCAAGAGGTATGAGCGTCGCTGTTCCAGATTGCACACTGCTGCTTGATGCGCTTGATTCGATGTCTCGGGGAATCTTGGAAAGACACCCCGCCTTGCTGTTCAGAATGAACACCTCACGGATGGCATTGCAGCTGGACACCGTGCCAACGTTGGTTGCTGTGGAACAGTTCGCAAGGTCACTGATGGCAGAGCTGGAAGTGCTTGCAGTGAGTGGGTCAGATGGGGTCACCAACAAGAAGCAAAAGGTGGCCGCAATTGCTCCTTCTGCAGCACCACCCGCAAAGGGATCCGGCAAAGCGAACTCGGCGGCATCAGGCGGGGAGGCGTCCTCACGGAAGGGTCAGGGGCGAAGCAAGGTTCCATGCCATGGCTGGATTACCGATTCAGGGTGTAGATTTGGTAAGAACTGCCAGTTCAGTCACGATGCTGATAGGCCCCAGAAATGCTGGGTATGCGGGGGATCACACCAAAAACTGGAATGCACCGCTCCTGGAGGTGGCAAAGGGCCTCCTGCTGAGGGCAAGGCAAAGGCAAAGGCCCAGACCCTAAACCCCCCTAAGGAGAAAAGTAAGCCTGACCCCAAGAGCACCACCAAAGCACCACCCGCAAAGGCCGATGCTGCCAGGTCGAGTACAGACACAGCTGCGGCAATCAAAGAGGCAACTCAACTCCTTCAGAGTATGAGATTGGCAAAGCTCAATGTCAAGGCGGTTACGCAGCTTAAGGACTTAGGGGAAGGGCGGCGGCGTCGCGGCCTCATAGACGGGGGAGCAACAGCGTGTTTGCGGACAGCACGAGGTAACGAACGAGCCTTGCCTACGCTGAAAGTAGAGCTGGCATGCGGATCATGTGACCTGCACGTCAACTCAGCAGGTACGTTGCTCAGCGCTCATCCCGTCACTCCAATTGTGTCAGTGGCAGCGCTGTTGGAACTGGGATACAAGATAAACTGGACGAAGGAGAACTGCCAGGTCAGTCATCCAAGGCGTGGCCAGCTGCAGGTCGATGCAAGCTCAGGGTGTCCAGAGATTGAGTTTGAAGTTGCACTCCAGCTTATCTCTGAGTACGAAGAACATGTGAAAGATAAGGAAGTGCATGAGGCTAGAGTAAGATGTCTGTTGCTGGATATGAGCTCTGCAACTGAAGAGGATCTCATGGCCTCAGTGTGGGGAGGTGGTGTTGAAGCAGCTGCAGCAATCAGGTTACTAGCCGCTAGGTTGTTCCCCTTAGTTCCCACGGAGCTCACAAAACAGATTCCTCCAACCCTTCAAACAGCTTCTCTTGAAAGCGGGTGGAATAGACGAACTCGCAGGCGAGCAGAACGAGCAGAAGGGGTAGTGGTTCACTTTAGTGAGTTGGGGTCCCGCAAAGCCTTCCAGGATGTGGCTGACCGATGTGGGTGGGCACTCTTGCACGTGGACACCGCCGGAGCAGTGTGGCCTGAAGCCTCTTACAGCTACTTGATGGGTCTAGCCCAGAAAGGCCACATTCGTGCTGTCCTTGGAAGTCCTCCCTTTCGCTCTTTTTCGGGATTCCAATATGTGAGCCAAGAAGGAGATGAGTCTGAGAAAGGGAGCAAGGATTGGGGCATAAGAAAAAGGGGAAGCAGTCTAGGATGTCTGGAGGGCTTGGAGCTTTCAGGCCGCGAGGTAGCAGCACGACAATGTGACGATCGGTTTGTGCTCAGAGCTCTGCTGCTGTATGGTGTAGCGGCCAAAGTAAACTCAAGGATTAGTGTTGCTGTGCCCGCCTTCGCTCTGGAGCAACCAGAGGATCAACCGGATGAGGGGGTTCCCTCGTTGTGGGCCACTCCCGAGTGGCTAAGCTTTGCATCTGAGTTCGGAATGGATCAAGTGTCTTTTGATCAAGGTCCCCTCCTTCATGCAAACAGGCGACCCACTACGTTGGCATCGAATATGATTTGCGCGCCGTGCCTTGCAGACTGCAGAGGGCAGGGATTAGAGTCAGTTCAAGGAATCCGGGGTTTGCCTAAGGAGCCTAAGGGTGTCGCGGCCTGGGCCCCAGGCCTTGTTGCTGCAGTGGCTGATATGCTATGGCAGTGGCACCGGGATGAACCACGAGCACCAAAATGGATAAGGTTAAAGGCAATGGATCCCAGCTTCATTGAGCACTTAAAGCAAGGCCACGTTCCATATCGGAACGACTGCAAGTACTGCATCCGGGG